AGAAATCAGTTCAACATACTCCAGGAATAAAGACAGAATCTGCTAAAGTAAACAGGATCTCTGGGTACAAGAATGCTATTAAGGAGAGGTAGAGGGTCGGGGAGCCTTACCATAGCCATGAACAAACAGTCCTTTAGACATCATTACTCTCTGATTCTGTGTTCACCAACAACTTTTTGGTTACTAATTCAGCTTTCTAAAATGTAGGTACAGAAAATTGGGAGACTGGTGCCCTGCACAAGAGAAGAGTGTATAAATATCCACGTAGGATTCCCACAGGGTACATCAATGAACTGGCACTCTTTTATATACTGTTCTCTTGCAAGTGTCACTATTAATCCTGGGTCACATTAATTCTAGGACACAGAAAACTCAAGTTTCCAGATGTCTTGTCCAGAGGACAAGACATTGAAAAATGGTATCTTTACCAAGGTAGGAACATCAAGGTCAGATTTGTCTTGGTGACAGGACCGCTTTCTTCTGCAGCCCCATTTCTCCTTTATTTCAACCTGCTTTGAAATTTTAAAGAAACATACCCAGATTACTTTAAGACAGTGTGAGATGGGTGCCATAAGATCCTCAGTGACATAGGCAAAAGGATGGTTCAGAAAGAAGGATTATCACTTGCAATGGATACAATCCAACAAGGCTTCAGGGAGGAAAAGCTTTAGAATTTCCACAAAAAGAGGACACAAAGGAAACACTGAACAACGAGAACAACAAAAGATGGAAATGAGGACGGAAGATAAAGAACAAATGAGTCTACAAGACTGTATAAGGTTCTGCAGGAGAGGTGTTAGGTCAAGGTTAAAGAGAAAGACATTAATGATCAAACAAACCACAAGAAAGGTTACTATTCAAATGTTCTTGGGCCTGATCAATAATCTCATTTATGCATCTTTTCTTACTTATATTTGATTTCTAAAAAAGCAACTAAAGGAGACTAATTTCCATTTTTTATGGAATGTATAAGGCAATACTCCGTACCACCAAAAGTAAAGCAGAGGCTAAATGTTTTTCAATTAAATTTCAATAAATTTTCCACTGTTAGAGATTAAATTGAGTGATCCATGACCTATATATATCTCTCACAAAGTCTATACTAGATGTCACTTTGAGAATAACTTAGGAATAAAGATATTTAAAGGGCCTCCACAAGTATAAAAAATAAACAAGCCATAATCAGAAGTGTCACTAAATCTAAAACAACTGATATAAATTTAATTAATTATTTTACTGATAAAAATAAGAAAAATCAGGGAAAACTGATAAATGATAATTTCTTCCAGGATGAACAATGTCTTTTTGTGATATCCTTTTCAATGGAAATTAGGAAAAAAATATTTCATCCCCCAAAAGGAATTTCAATTATACTTGCAACAAACTCAAAGAACATTCTATGTCAATTTTAGAATATCATCTTCATAGAACAGGGAAATCTGAGGGGGTTTTGTTCATTGCTATGTCACCAGTAACTAGAACAGTGCCTGGCATGTAACAGATGGTCATTAACTATTTCATATGTGAGTAAATGTTCAATCTTTCTCTCCAAATGTGTTTCATATCCAAATCTATACAACCTCTCCCAACTAACCCAAGAGAATTCCAACTCTTCTGGTAACACATGTGAAAATGTAAAAGAACTATTAATTTAGGACTTTAGGGAAAGCCAGCCTCTTTCAATGAGAGCATTATTACATTATAAATAATTTTTAAATGTCTACATGCTTAAGGTTTTTTCAATTTATTCCATAAATGGTAAATAAAAAGAAACAATGGGAAGGAAGGGAGAAGAGGAAGGAGGGAGGGAGGACAGACCAACATGTGGTTTTAAACAACTGAGCAAAGAGATTTTTCTACCTCTGGCATCATTAGCATAGTTTTTTTTTTTTTTTAATATTTAACTTTGACAAAATAATCATATATTTTACCACATTTTTCAGCAGAATAAAAGGCTAAATAATTCTCATAAAAAACCTTTAAAACTCCTACAATTACAACTGCTCTGAGAATATTTCTAGTAAGAATTTATTAAACATGTAGAGAGGAAGGCAAGATCAAGATGGCGGAGTAGAAAGACCTTCAGCTCACCTCCTCCCAAGGACACACGAAAACTACAACTACTTATAGAACAACTATCTCTGAGAATGACCTGAAGACTAGCAGAGTAGCTCTTCCACAATTAAGGATATAAAGAAAGAAAACCACACCAAGATAGGTACAAGGGGAAGAGAAGTAATTTAGTCAGAACCCAGAAGGTCAGCCCCCAGCAGGTGACCCAAAAGAGAAAGGAGACGTCACAAACTCAGAGGTCCTCCCTAAGGAGGAAGGGGTTCAGTCCCAACTTCGGGTACCCCAGCCCTTCAGACTGGCACCTGGAAGACAAGCCCCCATAACTGGTTTTGAAAACCAGCAGGGCTTACAGCCAGGAGAGCTGGAGGGCTGTAGAAAACTGAGACTTTGCTCTTAAAGACTGGCAACACAAACTTACTCCAAGCCCCAGAACAGAGGCAGCAGAGTGACAAGTGCCTGACACCCTAGCTGTCCTGCCAAGACTGCCTCATCAGACCCCCCCAGCCCACATAATCCTCCCTCTCCAGTCCCCCACCAAGGCGGCAATCCCTGGCACACCCCTGGAGAAGCCTCGGTTCATGCTGGGCTCCAACTCTAGCCCCTCTGGCTCCAGCTCCCTTGCCAAGGTGGTGGCCCTCTATGGGCCTTGGGCGAAGCCCCAGCCCACACGGCTCCAGCTCCAGCACCCCTACCACCAGGGAGCAGCCCCCAGTACACCCCAGGAGAAGCCCAGGATCACTTCGGCTCCAGCCCTTCCATAAAAGCCACTGGACATACATAGTCTGTATAAAGACACTCCTCCACAAGGACACATCTTCAAGACATGGAGAGGTAACTGTTTCTCTTAATTCATGGAGACAAACACAGAAAGTCAAGCAAAATGAGAAGACTGAGGACTCTGTTCCAAACAAAAGAACAAAATAAAACCCCAGGAAAAAAAACCACAAAACTTTAATGAAATCAAGGTAAGTAATTTACCTGATACAGAGTTTAAAGCAATGATCATAAAAATGCTCACTGAACTTGGGAGAAGAACGGAAGAACACAATTAGAACTTCAAAGAAGAATTAGAAAATATAAAAAAGAAGGAATCAGAGGTGAAGAATACAATAACTGAAATGAAAAATACACTAGAGGTGATCAACTGCAGATGAGGTGATGCAGAAGAATATGTAAGCAACCTGGAAAACAGAATAGCTGAAATCACTAAGTCAGAACAGCAAAAAGAAAAGAGAATGTTTACAAATGAGGAGAGCTTAACAGACCTCTAAGATAACATCAAGCATAGTAACATTCACATTACAGAGGTGCCAGAAGGAGAGGAGAAAGAAAGGGGTAGAAAATGTATTTGATGAAATAACGGCTGAAAATGTAACCTGCCGGAAGAAACAGACATCCAGGTCCAGGAAACAAAGAAAATCCCAAACACGATGAACCCAAAGAGATCCACACCAAGACACACCATAATTAAAACAGTAAAAGTTAAAGAGAGAATTTTAAAGGCAGCAAAAAAAAAAAAAAAAAAAATCAAGTCACATACAAGGGAAGCCCCATAAAGCTACCACCTGATTTCTCAGCAGAAACATTGCAGGCCAGAAGGGAGTGGCATGATATATTTTATTTAAAGTGATGAGAGGAAAAACACCTACAACCAAGGATATTCATGTGGCAAAGTTACTCAGAATTGAAGGAGAGAGAAAGAGTTTCCCAGACAAGCAAAAACTAAGAAGAGGTTAACACCACTAAACCAGCCTTCCAAGAAATGTTAAAGGAACTTCTTTAGGTGAAAAAGGAAAGGCCCTATAAAGGTAGGAAAATATATGAAAGGAAAAAACCTTACTGGTGAAGGAAAATATATAGTAAAGGCAGTGAATCAACCACTTAAAAAGCTAGTGGAAGGTTAAAAGACAAGTCAGAAAATCAACTGTAACTACAATAAAGAGTTAAGGATACACAAAAAGATGTAAAATTTGACGTCAAAAACATAAAACATGGTGGGGGGGAATAAAAAATGTAGAGATTTTAGACTGTGTTTAAACTTAACTATCAGCTTAAAGCTAACTAATTAATTGATTAATTAAAATACATTTTCTATTGATGCACAGACAAGATGAAAGAGAAACTCAGACTGCAGTAACATTAAATATTGCCTTGGGATTATATAAAGTTATATGCTTTTAACACCAATTTTCTACCTTTCATTATTATTTAGTAAATTCTTCAAATGTGGCAACTTATTACAATTAGAACACAACTTCCCTAATAAGAACAGAGTAAGACTGATACATATCTATTTCCAAACGTGTCCTCCATGTTTGATCTAATTTGCATAATTAAAATAGGAATTAAGCCATTTTCTTTTTATGAAGTTCTCTCCTTTGGTTTTTAATATTTTCTAATACTTATGCTATCTGTGCTAGATAAAAGGCAACCTGGAAACGGTAGCTGCCTAGTTACACTTCACTCATGGTTACCACATCATTCATGACTACTACACAACTCTAAATTGATGGAGGCATCACAACTCTACCTCATGGAAAACAGCTGGAGATTTGAAACCCTTTATGTTTCCAAAGAAAAAATATCAGTAATAACTTTTTGCTGTGCCTTCTGCCAGTTTCACCCCCCAAATAACTGTTCCTTCAAAGAAAAAAGGACCCTCTGTCTGAGGGATGGGCTCAATTGCTACTGGAACAAGAATATTTTCAAGTTTGATAGGTATCCTGACTTTGAGGTCCCAATGAAGAGAAATGAATTCATAGAAATTTTTGTATGTAATTAAAGTGGTCATCTATATAACGTTACCTTATCTATATCCAAACTAGAGTTCATAAAACAATCACAATCTTTATATTAAAATTTCATTAAGCAATTCTATGAAACAGAACTGAAGTCCTTTGAATACAGCTTAAAAACAGCAAAGTCACCTCTACTTGTGCTGCCAAATGTACTCTCTCCTTGTCTTTTCGCTCCAAGCACCGCTTCACTTCCTCTAACTCAGATGCCATTGCACTGAAGTTCAGCTGCACTCTCCAATCTGACATCTGCTTCTCCAGATCCTCTTTTTCCCGCTCAACCCCTTAAAAGAGAAAATGTAAAGCTTGATGGTTGATCGTTACTCACAGGATAATGTACTTTCGAATGGTATGTTTTAATATTCTACCTAATACAATCCACTTATTAATTGTCACTGTCACCCAACAGACTTCTCAGAATTTGTCATTCTATTGTTTCAAGTCTCACACAGTTTTCTAAAATATACACATTGCTGTGTCATCCAATATTATCACATTTTGATACTAAAGTGTTATCTGATTTCTAGTACAATTTATTTCAAGAAAATTCTATGCATTTTTTCTTTAATTTGCCTTACATTCCTGTATTACCCCCAAACTCTAAAACAAAAATACTGAAAGAATTTTCAACTAAGCTTCTCCACCTAACTGAAGTTACTGAAGTTCACACAACAAAACACTTTTCTTGCAACGTAAACAAATGATGCTGCTAAATTCTGATTGTGTTATGACCTCTAATCTATTAATTCTGGAGACTACTACCTACAATTGTATCACTGAACAATATAAATTGACTTAGTATTTATTTTTAGTCCAACATGAAATACTTGGTATATGATGAACAGGGCACTGTTAACACCATCTTTTTCAAAGATAAATAACACAAAAATCCTTTTCTCAATGAGCTTGCACTCCAAGAATAGAAAGAAAACATAAAAATAAAGTACTTCCATGAATTTAAGATGTCAAAAATTGGAACATATATTATCAATTTAAAACTACTCTTTTTCTAGTAGCTTCCTTTCCAGAATAGGAAAGAAGGAAGGAGACACTAGCAAATCCAATTTATAGATCATGTGTAAGACACATGCTAACTTCAGAAATATTAAAATGTCAAAATTGTACATTTTGGATGAAAGATACATAGGTATTTTAATAGTGTGATAAGAGCACTTATAGATACTAGACAAACAGTTCTCTATATCTGTATAATTTCTGTATAATAAATGGTTATTATACAAAAATAGTCCAAAGGATAGAATGATTAATTCTATCTTAATGAGAAACTGAGGTAGGAAAAACTGGTTACTATGGTAGTTCTAAAAAATAGGTACAAAATTTCACCAAGCAAAGGAGATGAAGTTGGGGTGATATTTCACGGAAAGGAAACAGCATAAAGCATAGAGGAACAATATTGGATTTCATATTCAGGTAACTGCACACACAGGAGTTCTACACAGCTAATACGTATGAGGGAGGGAAACAGGAGAGTCGGCAGGGAGTTATGCATTGCCAGGGAGCTTAGAAATTAGCCTACAGACCAGGAGTTAACAAACATTTTCTGTAAAGGGTCAGATAGTAAATATTTTAGCTATATGGTCTCTGTCACAACTACTTATCTCTGTTATTAAATTACAAAAGTGACCTGGACAATGCATAAATGAATGGGAGGAGCTTTAGTCCAATGAAGTTTCTTTACAAAAACAGGGGGTGGTCTGGATTTGGCCCATGGGCCATACTCTGCCCACCCCTGCTACGTCTTCAACGTGAAAATATGCATATTTTTATGTGTAAATGTATTTATTCATTTGACAAATATATACATTCATTCATCTTATAAATACATTTTTTATTTTATAAATTTATATATGCATATGTGTGTGCATATATCTCTCTATAGTACCTATCTACATAGACATAGACATGTTTCATGATATATATAACATTAGTGTATACATACATATACAAATTAACATTAGTATGAATATATTATACAAATTATGGAGATAATACATATGAATATGTGTATAAACACATACATATATGTATATTTATAAAACACATATGTATTTGGTGTGATGACATAATACTTTGATATGTTTCATAATATAGATATAAAACATGAGTGTGGATATATATAAATATATAGATATACACACATATATACATATATAATGAAACATTTATCAAAATTAAAATACTTAAAACATAAAGTATAAAATATAGTGTTACAAACACTCTCCTCCCACACCCAGTGGGTTATATGCTCCATTTTAAAGAACTCTTGCTACAAACAATGATGGGTCAGTACAGGATAGCAGTTAAGAGTTCAAGTCTGGGTAGAAAAAAGATTTGGTCTGCTACTTCCAACAAATGTAACTTTAAGCAAGGCACTCAATTTCTTTGTTCTTTAGTCTTTTTTTTAAGTCATTAAAATGGAAGTAAGAATATTCCCCCCTCATAGAATAGTTGTAAGAACTAAAGGAGACAGTGTAAAATGAGTAGCATAATGCCCTGTAAGAACTCAATAAATTATAATGAGAGGTTTTAATCAAGAGAATAACATGAAAGGTGTGTGTCTTAGAAGGGTCTCTTTAGTAGCAGTACAGAAGACAGATCACAGACAAGCTATTCAACAGAGTAAGACAAGTTAAGAGGGTAACAGAGATGAGATGAAGCATGCCTAAAATGGGCTAGGGGGAATAAGAAAGAAGCAACTTCAAGAGATATCAGGATCTACAAATAGACAGGACGTAGAGACTAATTAGATGGAGGTGAGAAGGAATAAGTTTGGATATTCTTTGTATTTTAGGCTTATCTGGATAAAGAATGATACGATCAATTAAGATAGGAAATAAAAACAGGTTTTGAGGAAAGGATGAATTCAGTTGTAAATCGGCTGACTGAGCATTCTGGAAAGGCATATATTGATGCCCAATGAACAACTCCATCTGGAGGGCTGAAGGTTAGGAGAGTGAGATGAGCCAGATTTAGGGATCATCGTTTGTAGGTGATAGCTAAGGCATAAGATTAAATAACAACCCCTAGGGAGAGGTACTAAGTGAGAAAAACCATAAATAGGATTCTAGACAACAGAGGCATTTAAAAGGCAAACTGTAAACAAAAGGAAAAGATTCAAATACAAAGACTGAAAGCAATTAAGACAGAAGAACCAGGAAAGAGTAGGAACAATGAAGTCAGTGGAAGAGTTCTAAGAGGAAACAAACAGGAGTCAAGTAAGGCAAGTAATGGAAAGATTCCTTTGAATTTGACAGAGAAGACCACTAGTAAACTAAGCAAAGTCAATTTTAGAAGTAGAAGTGGAAGTCATTTCACAGTGGGTAGAGGAACAAACAGCAAGCAGAGCGTGATGAGTGTAATTTCTTATGTAGAATTTTTTAAAATAATACAAGTATTCTATAAAGATGAAAACTCTAGAATTGTTAAAAGAAGGTGAAGAAGTCCACTGTCACAATGACAAGAGAACTTCAAGCGTTTTTTTTTTTTAACCTGGGAAGTAGTTAAAAAAAAGAGATTCTTCTAGTCCTCAAAGACACCAAAAATAACTAGATTTTATGAGACAACAAAACATATAACAAATGTACCACAGGATCTTTTTCCAAACAAAATGAGAGTTCTTATGTGCATCTTTATGAAATTTTGATGAATAATCTAATACCTTATATTTTACTGTTAAAAATAAATTTTAAAGTATTTGATGTTAAAATATGATTAAATTACAACATCAAATGAAACTTAAGCGAACTTAATGGCATGCAAATATATTAGGATAGGTATGTCAAAATTTGCCATCCAGTGAAGATTTTCTGGCAATGTGGAAATTCTAACTTAGGCAACATATTGAGTTATGTGTAGGGAATCTGGGGAATTTGTAACATCAGATGCTTACAAGAGTTTCTACAGTAATTTAGGCATCTGAGTAAGAAGCATTAATATTTAAATAGTCTGAAATAGTCTACCAGAAACCATTATAAAATTTCAGTATCACCATTTCTGTTAAACACAAACTTTCAAAAAGAAATACATCCAGAGTAATTAAATTCCACAGCCTAAATCAATACCTCCACTGAAAAAGCATTCTAACAGTTTTCAAACACAAAGTCTTCCTAATCAACATAAGAAAAAGCCAGTCATATTGTTCATAACCACTTCTACAATGTGATTAAATTTCGCCACCAATCTCCAAGTAACAAAAAGATAGAATCTTAATTGTATGCATATATTGGGGAAAAAAATGTGTGTGTGTGTGTACGAATCTGAAAAAAATTCCACTACTGCCTTGCTGTCTCTTTCTAAAAGAAAGACTCATGAGATAAGCAGGTCTGACAACAGAAATGGGTTTAAAAATCAAGAAGAGAAGACATTAAAATTGGATGCTAATATCAGCAAAAAACAAGTGAAATTTGAAATTAAAGACAATACCATTTACATTAGCATCCACAAAAAATTAAATACTTAGGTATAAATCTAACAAAATATATATGATGAAAACTACCAAACTCTGATGAAAGAAATCAAAGATTAACAAAATAAATGGAGAGATATTCCATGTTCATGGACAGAAAGATTCAATATTGTCAAAATGTCAGTTCTTCCCAACTTCATCAATAGAAGCAATGCAAGCGCAATCAAAATCCCAGCAAGTTATTTTTTGTATTTTGACAACCTGATTCTAAAGTTACATGGAATGGCAAAGAATCCAGAATAGCCAGTGCAGTATTGAAGGAGAAGAAAAGAATTAGAGGACTGACACTATCCAACAAAACAGTGTGGTACTCGCAAAAAAGAAAAAAAATGGTCAGGTAGATACATGGGACAGAATAGAGAGTCCAGAAGTAGGCCCACATAAAGACAGTCAACTGATCTTTGCCTAAGGAGCAAAGGCAATACAATGGAGAAAAGATAGTTTTTCAACAAATGGTGCTAGAACTGAAGGCCTGCATGCAAAAAAATGAATCTAGACACAGATCTTAAACCTTTCACAAAAATTAATTCAAAATAGATCACAGATTTAATGTAAAATGTAAAATTATAAAACTCTTAGAAGATAAGAGAATGATTTGGGGTTTGGTGATGGCTTTTTAGATGCAACACCAAAGTCACAGAAAGAAATGACAAGCTGGACTTCATTAAAAATTTCAGCTCTGTGAAAGACATTGTCAAGAGAATGAAAAGACAAGCCACAGACTATGAGAAATTATTTGCAAAGACATATCTGATAAAGAACTGCTATCCAAAATATAAAAGGACTCTTAAAATTAACAATAAGAAAACAAACAAGAAACAAATAAGAATAAAACAATAAGAAAACCATACTAAGAAATGGGCCAAAGACTTTAATGAATATCTCACCAAAAAAAATACACATATGGCAAATAAGCATATGAATAGTGCTCCACACCACATGTTATGAGGGAAATGCAAATTAAAACAACAATGATATGCCACTACAAACCTATCTGAATGGCCAAAATCCAGAACACTGACAACTTCAAATGTTGACAAGGATACAGAACAACGGGAAATCTCATTCACTGCTGGTAGAGGGAAAAATGATATAGCCATTCTGGAAGACAGTTTGGAAGATTCTTACAAAACTAAACGTACTCTTGGCATCTAGTCGAGCAATCACACTCTTTGGTATTTATCCAAAAGAGATGAAAACTTACATCCACACAAAAATCTGGACGCAGACATTTAGTTTACAGCAGTTGTATTCATAATCACCAAAACTTGGAAGCAACCAAGATGGACTTCTGTATGTGAACGGATAAATAAACAGTGGTACATCCAACAATGAAATATTATGCAGTGCTTTAAAAAAAAATTTTTTTAAAAGAGCTACCAAGCCATGAAAAGACATGGAGGAAACTTAGAGGCATATTACTAAGTAAAAGAAGCCAATCTGAAAAGGCTACACACTGTATGATTCCAACCATACTAGGTTCTGGGAAAGGCAAAACTATGGAAACAATAAAAAGATCAGTACTTGCCAGAAGTTAGGGGAGAGAGGGATGAATAATGAAAAACAGAGGATTTTTAAGACAGTGAAACTACTCTATGATACTATAATGGTGGATACATGTCATTATGTTTGTCCAATCCTGTAGAGCACACAACAAGAGTGAACCCTAATGTAAAATACAGACTTCGGATGACAATGATGTGTCAATGTAGGGTTCATCAGTTATAACAAGTGTACCACTGTGGAGAGGGGTGTTGATGGTGGGGGAAGCTGTGACATGTGGGAGCAGGGGTACATGGGAAATCTCTGTACCTTCTGCTCAATAGTGCTATAAACATAAAATTAAAAAATTAAGTCTGTTTTAAAAAAACTGGATGCTAAATTATGATTAACTTGGAAAACCTTGTAGTAGATCAAGAAATAGGATGAAAAGAATATATAACATAAGGAAAGCAATTCTGAAAATGGGAAATATTTAAGAAAGATCAAAAAAGCCCCAGACATTTACAAATCAGAATGATACCTCTTCTAAACCTCCAGTCAACTTCTTGTTCGTCCTGATAGTTTGACTGTTGCTTGGAAATCTGAGATACTTGATGTACTAAGCCTTTTTGATCACCTTCTGCTTTCATGAGTTGTGTACGGAGTTCTTCTACCTAAATACACATAGTCAAAAATGAAATTTTATCAGTTTTAAAAGCAGGAAAAGAATAACTGAACTTACAAATTATTTTTCTAGGGAAAAAAAATTTACTTCCAATGGGCTACTGTAAGCACAAGTTGAAGCCAAGTTAATCTCCTTGTTATGCCAAGCACAGTGGAACAGTCTCTTGCTCCATTTCTTTATTCCTCCCATTCCTTCCACAAACAATGAATGTTCTTTCCCCTTCTCTGTGTCTACTGTGACAAAGAATTTGACCACACTTTTTTTAAATCCCTATTTTCACCTCAGTCCACTCTACTGTTATTAACCCAAACTACCTCCAATTAAGTACTATACATTTTTATATTTTTCACTTATTCTCTTTCATGTGAACATAGTCTATTGGTTGGTAAAGTCAAATGAAATGATCACAATTTAGCACACTGTGATATCAAAGTACTGCTCAAAATAAATAAGCAATAAAAGCTGTTGAATAAACTATAAACTCCTTGAGGTAAGGTACCATTTTATTCTTCTTTGTATATCTGGAGACTAGCAAGCATGTCCACAATGACCTTTAAACAAGTCAGCAGTGGCAGAGACTCAGGTAAAGTCACAATGACAACTTTAACACATAAATCTCTTATTTCAAAAGATAAGATTAGAAATTACAAGGCAGAGTTCAAAAAAAAAAAAATCAGAAGGAAATGAATACAAATATAAACTTCCAAAAAAGAAACTCTAAACTCTGCCAACATTAATTCCATTGGACCACTGGCTGCAAAACAAAGCCATTACACATTTTTAAACATTTTGTAAAACAGGAGCTACGGTGTTTCAGATGCTTCAGGATTAACTGTCAAAACGTAATACTCCTTCTGAACGTCTAAGATGTCTGACAACTTTGCCTGCCTAGCATATTATGTAGTGAGTTATGTAAGCCACACTTCAAAACAGAGGAAGTTACAATTGCAATTTATATTAAACACAGGCAGAAAGGTAGTTAGAAACCCACATGCCTTTACCCAATGTGTATAAAATCGCTATTTCAAGTTACTGAACTTTAGATATCAGAAGCACCAAACTCCTATTATTGGCTAATGGGCTGCAAAATGTTATGCTTTAAAATTAAGCCTTATCTCTGGTTAAAAGGAAGCAGGGCAGGTAGCAGCTTGAAAATGCGAATATAAGACAGTGATGCATTCAAAGTAACTTGAACATGCAAGGTTTGTTTTATGTATTTTACTTCCGCCTTCACTCTCTACGTCTCCTTGAATAAAATTAAGCTCCTGGGAAAATTTTATCTTACACATCCAGTCTCACTTTTACACTGGTTATGCTAAGAGAGATGATTCCTAAACTGGAAAAGCAATCAGCAAGATATGCTGTCACAGTGGGAACCTGGGCTGGTGTTTTATATTGGCTTTCTCTGAATCTTCCTGAAAGGATTTCATCTTTTGCTTATGTGTGTTAATATACATTCCTTAAGGAAAAATACTTCTAGATCTAAGGTTTTTTTCCCTTTCACAAAGACATTTAATAGGGAAAGAGACTCAATCCTGATTTAATTTAAAGCAGATTATCATAGCTTGCATAGACTTACCTGATGCAAAAGTGCTTCTCTGCTGCCTTCTGACTGATTCAATAACCTTCGAGATAGCTCCAATTCCTGTTCAAGCTAGAGTTTCAACAAAGAATAAGGAAAAATGTCCAATGGGGCAGAAAATAACTAAACTATTACAGGCTCAGTTTAAGAGGAGAAAAGTGAAAAAGTTTTCAGATTTTTACAGCTAACATAAAAGGAAAAATATCTTGCTATAAACATATATCAATGCTCCCATTAAAATAATGGTAATTAAATAACAAAAAGTGAACCAGACCAGACTGCAGGAGGTCTTGGCTCCAGTCAGTTCCATCTCAATTATGACCCCCATTTAAATCTCTTTTCCTTAGGCCTCCTGTCACCTCTAAATTAAGGATTTTATATTAGATAATCTGAGATCCCTTCAGTTCTAAATCATTTTAATGTAAATTCTGAAGCAGTTTTTTCTTTAAATTACTACATGTAGTATCATACGAACAAAATTAGAATAAAAATTTCAGGGACCCAATGACTCAAAGTGTATTTCATCCAATTGGTTATTTTTTATATTCTTAATATTCTTATATTCCTAATATTTCCAATATTCCTAACATTTCTAAAAATTTTAATCAGAATAAGATATTTTAAATTTCCCTAATAATATTGCCATTAGATAAGCATCCACAGAAAATGTGCCAGTTAGGTGACTAAATACCCTACAAAGTCAACATGCTTCGCTTACCTCAAGCTGAAAAATATAACAGAATGTGAAGGGGAGAAGAATATGCCACTCCAAAATATGCCTCTTGGCACAAGTATTATTCTGAGCTGATGGCAATCAAAACCCAACAGATTCAGGAAAAGCTTTTTACCTTCCCCTAAATTGCACTTAAAAACTTAAAAAGGAGGTCTGTACCAGAAAGAGAGTTGTTACCAAAGATAACTTTCTATATCTGAAAGACCTCTTCACGGCAGGGCAAACATTTGTTTACCATACATATACTCTTCTCATCTTCCTGTGAACTGTGTTCCTCCCCTTTGAAGCCCCAAGCCCCTATTCCTTGCCTTCGTTCAGGATGGTAGATAAGCCTCAACTGCCTGGCTGTCTTTGAGTCTCATATTTTTATGGGGCTCCCATACATACAAAATTAAACTTGTTTTTCTCCTGTTAATCTGTTTTATGTCAATTTAATTATTATACCAGCCAAAGAACCTAGAAGGGTAAAGGGAAAATTATTTTTCCTCCCCTACAGATGGGACACTTTTGTTAAAAATCCACAGCTTACATATGCTGGACATGTTTGCACTTTGTAAGGGTAAGGTTGTTTTGTGAAATCACAAATTTATATTAAGATGTTATTAAGTGCTTAGATTTGTAACAGTTATCCTAAATTATCATTTCATTTGAACAAACTACTATCTATACATTAGTCTTTCAGAAATTGTACATGTGGAAGGTGTGACTATTAAGGAGTAGCATGAGGGAACACTGTGGTGATGGAACAGTTCTGTATTTTGACTATCGCGGCAATAAGATTGAGACTCATGAGATAAAACTGCATAGAAGTACACAAACACACACTTAACACACAAATGAGTATACACATAAAGCTGGTGAAATCTGCATAAGCTCTGTGCATTGCAAGTGTCAATTTCCAGGTTTTGATGTTGGATGGCAATTATAGAAAATGTTATCACTGAGAATAACTGGCCCATGGTACATTTTGTTTTGCAACACCTATGAATCTATTATTATTTCAAAATAATTTTTTCATCCAGTTATGTAAGTTTTTTAAAAGTGTGCAGCAGCTCATAAAATAACTATCACATATTTTTAAAAGTACAGTTGACCCTTGAACAACATGGGTTTGAACTGCACAAGTCCACTTATACACGGATTTTTTTTCACTCGTAAATACTACAGTACTATAGGATTGAATTCACATATGTGAAACCATGGCTAGAGAGAAACTGCAAATACGGAGAGCTGACTACATGTTATACTTGGATTTTTGACTGCACAGAGGGTCAGGGCACCTAAGCCCCCATTGTTCAAGGGCCAACTGTAAATCAACTATAAAGTACATGTGGATGCAGAGAATCCACACAAACTATTATCTGACCTGGTCTCTTGTTTCTATAAATAAATAAAAAGGGAAGAAATCGCACTGAAGTCAACATGGTTTCAAAATCTACCAGGGTCCATACTGGTCATGTTTCCTGGGTAATATCAGCATCTACAACTCCCAAAGAGCAAACGTGATGACCTGATGTACCTTGCTTACCACCGTAAAGACAGCATGGACGCATCATGCAACTTTACATAGGTTGGTGAAATAAAGGAGGTAAGGGTAAATAGAAAAGGTAATACAGAGTAAAGAACATTATATCAGAAGCAAAATTTCACTTTATCATTCATTACCTTGGGCTTGGCCTTTAATCTACTCATTTGCAAACTGAAGAGAGTTGTTTGGCCTCTGAGTTACTTTCTAGCTCTAAAATGCTACGCTCTATAGCCTCACAGACATGAATTCATATCAAAGATACTTAATATTTAATGAGAATAGAGGATTTTTCGGAACTAGGCTGGTAACTGTTCCTATCTTCTATAACAAAAATTAATAGATACAAAATATTCAACCTTTAAAAAACAGGTCTTTCCCAACCCTACAGTAAAGTCAACCTCTTTAAATGTTCTCCAGCAAAGAATGGTCAAGTTTAATTCGCCTCTAGAAAAGGAGAGCGGCCAGGAGACAAGGTAGTGAACTACCTGTGTATGTTTCCAAGAGCAAGTAGCAGAGAGTGGCAGAGCCCTCAAGCCAAGTGACTCCACATCAAAACATAAAGTCTTCACTGCACTCTAACAAAAAACCTCAGGGACACTTTCCAAGGTACTCAATGAATATCACTGGCCCCAAACAGCATTACACTTGATAAGTTAATTTTCAAAGGGGAGACAGCAGAAGCAAGAAGAACTACAATTCTGACCCTGTGGAAGGAAAACCACATTCACAGAAAGATAGACAAGATGAAAAGGCAGAGTACTTTGTACCAGATGAAGGAACAAGATAAAACCCCAGAAAAACAACTAAATGAAGTGGAGATAAGCAACCTTCCAGAAAAAGTATTCAGAATAATGATAGTGAAGATGATCCAGGACCTCAGAAAAAGAATGGAGGCAAAGATCAAGAAGATGCAAGAAATGTTTAACAAAGATCTAGAAGAATTAAAGAACAATCAAACAGGGATGAACAACACAATAACTGAAATGAAAACTACAACAGAAGGAATCAATAGCAGTATAACTGAGGCAGAAGAACAGATAAGTGACCTGGAAGACAGAATGGTAGAATTCACTGCCATGGAACAGAATAAAGAAAAAGAATGAAAAGAAATGCAGACAGCCTAAGAGACCTCTGGGACAACACTAAATGCAACAACATTCGCATTATAGGGGTCCCAGAAGGAGAAGAGAGACACAGAAAGGACCCAAGAAAATATTTGAAGAGATTATGGTCGAACACTTTCCTTACATGGGAAAGGAAATAGCCACCCAAGTCCAGGGAGCACAGAGAGTCCCAGGTAGGATAAATCCAAGAAGAAACATGCCAAGACACATAGTAATCAAATTGGTAAAAATTAAAGACAAAGAAAAATTACTGAAAGCAACAAGGGAAAAATGGCAACATACAATGAAACTCCCATAAGGTTAACAGCTGATTTCTCAGCAGAAACTCTACAAGCCCGAAGGGAGTGGCATGATATATTTATAGTGAAGAAAGGGAAGAACCTACAACCAAGATTACTCTACCCAGCAAGGATCTCATTCAGATTCGACAGAGAAATCAAAAGATTTACAGACAAGCAAAAGCTAAGAGAATTCAGCACCACCAAACCAGCTCTACAACACATACTAAAGGAACTTCTCTAAGTGGGAAAAACAAGAGAAGAAAAGGACCTACAAAAACAAACCCATAACAATTAAGAAAATGGTAATAGGAACATACATATCAATAATTACCTTAAACGTGAATGGATTAAATGCTCCAACCAAAAGACACAGGCTCACTGAAAGGATACAAAAACAAGACCCATATATATGCTGTCTACAGGAGACCCACTTCAGACCTAGGGACACATACAGAATGAAAGTGAGGGGACGGAAAAAGATATTCCATGCAAATGGAAATCAAAAGAAAGCTGGAGTAGCAATAATCATATCAGATAAAATAGACTTTAAAATAAAGAATGTAGCAAGAGACAAGGAAGGACACTACATAATGATCAAGGGATCAATCCAAGAAGAAGATATAATAATTATAGATATATATGCACCCAGCATAGGAGCACCTCAATACATGAGGCAACTGCTAACAGCTCTAAGAGAGGAAATCGACAGTAACACAATAACAGTGGAGGACTTTAACACCTCACTTACACCGATGGACAGGTCATCCAGACAGAAAGTTCGTAAGGAAACACAAGCTTTAAATGACACAATAGACCTGATAAATTTAATTGATATTTATAGGACATTCCATCCAAAAACAGCAGATTACACTTTCTTCTCAAGTGCGCATGGAACATCTTGCAGAATAGATCACATCTTGGGTCACAAATCAAACCTCAATAAATGTAAGAAAACTGAAATCATATCAAGCATCTTTTAGAACCACAACACTATGAGATTAGAAATCAATTACAGAGAGAAAAAAGTAAAAAACACAAACACATGGAGGCTAAACAGTATGATACTAAATAACCAAGAGATCACTGAAGAAAGCAAAGAGGAAATCGAAAACTACCTAGAGACAAATTACAACGAAAACACGACGATCCAAAACCTATGGGATGCAGCAAAAGCAGTTCTAAGAGGGAAGTATACACCTATACAAGCCTACCTCAAGACACAAGAAACATCTCAAATAAATAATCTAACCTTACACCTAAAGGAACTAGAGGAAGACGAACAAACAAAACCCAAAGTTAGTAGAAGGAAAGAAATCATAAAGATCACAGCAGAAATAAATGAAATAGAAACAAAGAAAACAATAGCAAAGATCAATAAAACTAAAAGCTGGTTTTTTTAGAAGATAAACAACATTGATAAACCTTTAGCCAGACTCATCAAGAAAAAGAGGGAGAGGACTCAAATCAGTAAAATGAGACATGAAAAAGGAGAAGTTACAACAAACACTGCAGAAATACAAAGCATCATAAGAGACTACTCCAAGCAACTCTATGCCAAAAAAATGGACAACCTGGAAGAAATGGACAAATTCTTAGAAAGGTATAACCTTTCAAGACTGAACCAGGAAGAAACAGAAAATATGAACAGACCAATGACAAGTAATGAAATTGAAACTGTGATTAAAAATCTTCCAACAAACAAAAGTGCAGGACCAGATGATTTCACAGGTGAATTCCATGAAACATTTAGAGAAGAGCTAAAACCCATCCTTCTCAAACTCTTCCAAAAAATTTCAGAGGAAGGAATGCTCCCAAACTCATTCTATGAGGCCACCACCACCCTAATACCAAAACCAGACAAAGATACTACAAAAAAATAAAGTTACAGACCAATATCACTGATGAACATCAAAGCAAAAATCCTCAACAAAATACTAACAAACACACTGAAAGATCATACACCATGATCAAGTGGAATATATCCCAGGGATGCAAGGATTCTTCAATATACACAAATCAATCAACGTGATACACCATATTAAAAAATTGAAGAAAACGATATGATCATCTCAATAGATTCAGAAAAAGCTTTTGACAAAATTCAACAACCATTTATGATAAAAATTCTCCAGAAGGTGGGCACAGAGGGAAACTACCTCAACATAATAAATGCCATATATGACAAACCCATAGCAAACATCGTCTTCAATGGTGAAAAACTGAAAGCACTTCCTCTAAGATCAGGAAAAAGATAACGATGTCCACTCTCACCACTATTATTTAATATAGTTTTGGAAGTCCTGGCCACCACAGCAATCAGAGAAGAAAAAGAAATAAAAGGAATCCAAATGGGAAAAGAAGTAAAACTGTCACTGTTTGCAGATGACATGATACTATACATAGAGAATCCTAAAGATGCCACCAGAAAACTACTATAGCTAACCAATGAATTTGGTAAAGTTGCAGGATACAAAATTAATGCACAGAAATCTCTTGCATTCCTATACACTAACAAGGAAAGATCAGAAAGAGAAATTAAGGAAACAATCCCATTCACCATTGCAACAAAAAGAATAAAATACCTAGGAATAAACCTACTAAAGGAGGTAAAAGACCTGTACTCAGAAAACTATAAGACACTGATGAAATAAATCAAAGATGACACAAACAGATGGAGAGATATACCATGTTCTTGGATTGGAAGAATCAATATTGTGACAATGACTATACTACCCAAAGCAATCTACAGATTCAATGCAATCCCTATCAACTTACCAGTGGCATTTTTTACAAAACTAGAACAAAAAATCTTAAAATTTGTTTGGAGACACAAAAGACCCCGAATAGCCAAAGCAGTCTTGAAGGAAAAAAATGGAGCTGGAGGAGTCATACTCCCTCACTTCACTGTACTACCAAGCTACAGTAATCAAGAGAATATGGTACTGGCAGAAAAACAGAAATACAGTTCAGTGGAACAGGATAGAAAGCCCAGAGATAAACCCACACACCTATGGTCAACTAATCTATGACAAAGGAAGCAAGGATATATAATGGAGAAAAGACAGTCTCTTCAATAAGTGGTGCTGGGAAAACTGGACAGCTGCATGTAAAAGAATGAAATTAGAACATTCCCTAACACCATACACAAAAATAAACTCAAAATGGATTAAAGACCTAAATGTAAGACCGGACACTATAAAACTCTTAGAGGAAACCATAGGAAGAACACTCTCTGACATAAATCACAGCAAGATCTTTTTTGATCTACTTCCTAGAGTAATGGAAATAAAAACAAAAATAAACAAATGGGACCTAATGAAACTTAAAAGCTTTTGCACAGCAAAGGAAACTACAAACAAGATGAAAAGACAAACCTCAGAATGGGAGAAAATATTTGCAAATGAAGCAATGGACAAAGGATTAACCTCCAAAATATATAAACAGCTCATGCAGCTCAATATTAAAAAAAACAAACAACCCAATCAAAAAATGGGCAGAAGACCTAAATAGACAGTTCTCCAAATAAGACATACAGACGGCCAAGAAGCACATGAAAAGCTGCTCAACATCACTAATTATTAGAGAAATGCAAATCAAAACTACAATGAGGTATCACCTCACACCAGTTAGAAAGGGCATCATCAGAAAATCTACAAACAACAAATGCTGGAGAGGGTGTGGAGAAAAGGGGACCCTCTTGCACTGTTTGTGGGAATGTAAATTGATACAGCCACTATGGAGAACAGTATGGAGGTTTCTTAAAATTAACTAAAAATAGAATTACCATATGACCCAGTAATCCCACTACTGGGCATATACCCAGAGAAAACCATAATTCAAAAAGACACATGCACCACAGTGTTTGTTGCAGCACTATTTACGATTGCCAGGTCATGGAAGCAACCTAAATGCCCATCGACAGACGAACGGATAAAGAAGATGTGGTACATATATACAATGGAATATTATTCATCCATAAAAAGGAACAAAATTGGGTCATTTGTAGAGACGTGCATGGATCTAGAGACTGTCATACAGAGTGAAGTAAGTCAGAAAAACAAATACCATATATTAACGCATATATGTGGAACGTAGAAAAATGGTACAGATGAACCAGTTTGCAGGGCAGAAATTGAGACACAGATGTAGAGAACAAACGTATGGACACCAAGGGGATAATGGCAGGGGTGGTGGTTGTGGTGGGATGAATTGGGAGACTGGGATTGACATATATACGCCAATATGTATTAAATAGATAAGTAATACGAACCTGCTGTATAAAAAGATAAATTAAATAAAATTCAAAACTTTAAAAAAAATGTTAATTTTCAAAATCTTACTTTACTCTTTTCAGTTTCACTTTGTCTTAGCTTATTTTTCACTACTCCCTCATTCTCCTCTGCTTTAGCTTCTTGTTTCTTCAATGCCTAGAAAGAAAGACATGGGAAAATCAGTATTATTCCAAAATACATATAAAACTGAAAGATATTACTAGGATCTATTAAGAAAAGGCTGAGGAAGATGATTATGAATTGTACAAAATATACACAGGAATTACAACCTGCTCATTCACTGAAGTCATAAGATCACTTCATTGGGGCTCAAATATAAACTTCCCGATCTACCTAATCAAGTTCCACTTAGTTTCACTTTTTCCCATCTTTAGGAATTTTGTAACACATTTAGAGAGCTTAGACAGCTAACAGTTTTCTTGGAAACAAACAAATTTTACCTGCCGAAATAATAGTATTTAAAAGTTATATTATCAGCTCAACAATTTTGACATAATACCTAAAACCAGTTCACTAGTTTTTCAAATTCTGAAAAAATATCAAGGTAGAAACATGCTTGTTGCATCATTATCACATACATGACATTTTATCACAACATATAACTTGCTCTTCAACCATACTTTCACAAAGAGCAAAGAAAAGCATTCTTTTCTACATTTTTCTCTCTTTAATAAATTGGAAAAAAAGGAACTTTAAGATAATACAAATTCCAAAAGTTAACCACATAAGTGTTTGTTTCTATGTTAAAACAAAATTAAACTTAAGGAAAAAAAATTATATTAAGAGCAATCTTTCATAACATCTAAAAGACATTCCATTTGTTTAAAAAAAAATTCGACACTTAGCATTTAGACTTAAAAAGGTGTATGTGTAGAGGCCATCTAAGTTGAGAAAAGCCAAATTTCCAGAAGTCTTTTCCAACAAGTTCTATGATGCTCAATAGAAAAACTATTTTTAGGCAAACAGCAAAACATGTTAAAACTGTTTTGATGCAAGTATAATCAATCATATTCCAATTTCATTAACTCACATATCCAACATATATCTCCAAAGTGCATATATATGCATATATAAAATAACAATGTCCCCCCTACCCATGAGATTACAGCTCCCTCTGCATGGCTCCTGCTCTCACTAATAAAAAACAATTGAGTAAAAACGCAGAGAGACACCATCAAATAAAAATAATTTTGATTTGAGTATAAATAATATAGTGTTTACTATGTCTGGGCATTCTTCTTCTTCTTACATATATTAAATAAACACATTACATATATTGAATATATACATTTAATCTTTATGATGGTTCCATGAGTTATTATTAAGTCCTTTTTTTTTTTTTTTTTGCGGTACGCGGGTCTCTCACTGTTGTGGCCTCTCCCGTTGCGGAGCACAGGCTCCGGACGTGCAGGCTCAGTGGCCATGGCTCACGGGCCTAGCCATTCCACGGCATGTGGGATCTTCCCAGACCGGGGCACGAACCCGTGTCCCCTGCATCGGCAGGTGTACTCTCAACCACTGCGCCACCAGGGAAGCCCATTAAGTCCATTTTATTAAGAGGGAAGTTGGGGCTACAAGGAGTTGAATAACTTGCCCAAGGTCATTCACCAAGCTCGTGACAGAGTCAGGACATAGACTCAGGCTGTGTGCCTCTAAACCACTGAATGGCACTGCCTCTCCACGTTGAAACAATATCAAGCTTATAGGGTGGATATGAAGACTAAATAATTTTATACTTATAAAGCATTAAAATATACAATAAAAGACAACTATTATGATTACTAAATTGTTAACAATTGATAAAGTATTACAAAACATAATGCTTTTCAGGTAGGTAGCTATCAAATGATTTTGATGTTTATTATTTGTTCTTTACTGTAGCCTAAGTGGAATTTGTAATAATATTTACTTAAGTATGTATAATCTATTCAGTTTTGGCTGGTGGGATGTGTTTATAAATTTTTCCTGAACGAAATTATCCTAGAAACTTGAAAATTACTGCTGGCATCTTCATTTTTTCCATGCTTCCTCGGTCTAACTCCATCTAATATGTGTGTGTGTGTGTTTCTGTGACAGAGAGGGAGAGGAAGAGGGAGAGAGAAGGAGGGAGAAATATTTTTTAAAAAGATATGAATTGTTGCTATACTTTTCATCAATTCATTTTACAATATTTGAACTATCTTATTCCTCAACATCATCATTCAACCTAGCCCCATCACCTGTTTTTCTTTAATGAGTTAAACTTAACTGGTTATCTTTTCAATATTTTTTTTCCAGTTATGTCATACACCTTTTATTGCCAAGTATATTTTTCATATCAAATATATATTTGCAGGTTCTCTAAAACTTAATCTAGTGCTAGTCTAGAAGTAAGTTACTGTAGAAAGCATGCTGCTGTTTTTTAAACAAACAAAATACTATTTTTTCAAGGTTCATGGATTCAGTCAATATTTTTTCATTGAACTAAAAACCAGCCTGGGTTTTTCCACAGAGAGGAGATTATGAGGAAGACTTCCTCATGCAGTTGATAAATTTCATCAAACTGTAAATAGTCAGCCTCCCATTCTGGATTCAAACTCCTGGGCAGAAGCCACTCCAAATGAGTATGCAGTGAAGGCTCACCCAAACCCGGTGACATCACTTAAGGCCATAAGCAACTTCAAACAAGATGGGCTTGTCCCAAATATAAGAGCCATTCACTTCCAAAGCCAAATTCAAAATCTACCTTGGAAGACTCTGCAACCTTCAAACAGTAGCTGCTAAGATCCTTCCAGTGTGATTCTGTACATCTCTTCATGTTCCAAGTTGTTTCCACCTGTGTCCTCTGCTTACTGAGGTACGAGAAACAGAAGGAATCACCTGCTAAGCTTTTAAAACTTGACTTAACTGCATGCTGCAACTCTAGGAGTTTAACTTACTAAGAATTTAAACCCCAAAAATTCTCCAGTGAAGAAATTTTTCCATTTTACTAACTGGAATTAATCCATTTCTGTCCCTTTCTCATGAGTTCCAAAACTTACATTTTAAAAATCCTATTACATTTTACATCAAAAAAACAAGAAAGACATATTAACATTTCCCAAGTGTTTACATACTTTATTTTGATTAAGTCTATTAAAATGTGCTTAATTCATTTATATGCTTATTTTTACTTAGATAGACATACAAATAATTGTTGTTTATCTAGAGGTTTACATTTCCAAAGAGTAATATAAAAGATTTGGTGTCACTAAGGTGTAAGCTTCAGAAGGCCAGGGACCTCATCTGTCATGATCATATTTTAACTCTAACACAATACTTGACACATTTTAGGTGGTAAACATATGTTATCGAATGGATGAATAAATATCCCTTTATAATTCCTAAATAACAACTTCACTTTGCAATTGGCCAATTCTGTTCATCACATATATGAAAGTTTTCCAGATTTCTCTCATCTTTCTTAACCACCATATTTTCTCAAGCACCAAGTTGCCTTTCTTTCTGTAAAAACAATTATTACGGTGTAGTGATGTTGGAAAATAAATATTTACTTGGGGGTTTAAGTCAAAGAGTTAATAATCCTTTCCTGTTTTCAAAGTCATCATTTTAGTCTCTTCCTTAGAAAAAAATACTCTGAATAGGTTTAAGTTTTTTTATTTTTTAAATAATTCAGATTTACAGAACAGTTGTAAAGACAGCTCAGAGTTCCCATATACTTTTCACTTAGCTTCCCCTAAAAGTAACATCTTCCATAACCAAGGTAAGTTTATTGAAACTAAGATGTTAACACTGTTACAAAACCAAAAGCTACAGACTTTACTCAACTATCAAATGTTCTTTTTTGTTCCAAGATACTTCAGAGCAGCTTGTCTCTTTAGTCTCCTCCAATCTGGAAAAGTTTTTCAATCTTTCCTTGCTTTTATGATTTCAACATTTTCGAAAATATTTCAGGTATCTTCAAGTCAGGTATTTTGTAGACTGTCCCTCAATTTGGGTTTTTCTGATGTCTTCTCATGATTAGACAAAGCTCATAAATTTGGGAACAGAATACCATAGAGGTAAGCCGTTCTCAATGCATCACACTGGTGGGTATGTGATATCAACATGACTCAGGACTAGTGATGTTAACCTTGATAGCTTGATTACGGTAGTGTGGTGTCTGCCAAATCTTCCTGCCATAAAGTTAGTATTCTTTCCTTTCCAGACTCTGTTAGAAGCAAGTCATTAAGTCCAGCCCACACTCAAAGGGAGAAGAATTAAGTTCTACCTCCCAGAGGGAGAATATCAAAGAATATGTAGAACTATGTTAAAATCACTAAAGTAATGAACAAATATTTTGGTAGATAATTTGAGGCTATGCAAGTATCCTTAAAGTTTTACCCACCAATTTTAGCTCAAAATCAGACCAACTATAACATTATCAGTACTTTTTTGGCCTACAAGCTTTTCCCCCATCAAACCTTATGCCTAATGCAACCCAGATTCCTAGTAAGTTAACTCATAGCCCAGTGCTCACCACTAAGTAGAACGCTGAACCCCTTTGCAGTCACCTCCAGATAACCTACTTACACCAAAAACATTAATGAGTGATACAGAATTTACATAAGACCATATCGGTGGATGGAGTACACTCATCAAGTCTCTATATAATCCTAACTCTCCTGGGCTACTCCACTAACCAGGAATTCTCCTTCCCCCTTGTTTCCCTACATCTTCTTCAGCTTCACTGTTCAGTTTCTTTGCAGCTTCTGGGCCTTCCCAACAGGCTTCTAAATCTCCCTCCCCGACTTACGCCGAGCAGTGTGCCTCTATTCCAGTTCTCAATTTTTTTTTTTTTTTTTTTTTGGCGGTACGCGGGCCTCTCGCTGTTGTGGCCTCTCCCATTACGGAGCACAGGCTCCGGATGTGCAGGCTCAGCGGCCGTGGCTCACGGGCCCAGCCGCTCCACGGCACAGGGAAGCCCCAGTTCTCAATTTTGAATGCCGACACTGATTACCATGCCCAGTACCCCATTTTCCTCACCACACAAAGAAAAGACCTGTTACCAGGATCCATTCCCCTTAAAGGGCGGTTGAGAAATAATTATTTTCTTTCTCATACTAATAGATATTTAATCTTCATTTCTTATAATTAGTATAAATATTAGTAATTTT